ACGCACCGCACCGGCGTGCGTACCGAACCCCACGGCGCAATAGAGGAGCCTCCACAATCAACGAGTGCTATAGTTGAACAAGAACCTTGACTGCAAGCTCAGCCATACGAAGCCGGAACGATTATCAAGTTGGGGAGGCATCATTACTCCAACATTGAGCAAAGATGAACGGAGACCACCATGGGAAGGTCTTGAACATGCACAACAAGACGGCACACCACATGAACACTGCCAAAGACAAACAAACGAGGCAGAGGTGGCAGCTCCACAGCACCAAGCGTGATGTTGCCAGACCCCAAGACACACCACTGTCGACCCCAACTCAGTCGCACCACCACCACCCACATCCCCGTAAGAAGCAGCTACCCAACAGAACAATCGAGCCGACTTCTAGACGATGCCTTCAAGACGGGTTGTGATGCAAATTGCGCCACCATTGGTTGTTCAGGGCAAACCTGGAACCAAGGTTTCCCCCTAAGTCGCAAAGAGGATGGCAAAAACAACATACAGTGACGCCTTCAAGAAGGTTCACGGCGCCCATGGGCGTCGTCGTCATTTGCTCCGGTCTGAGCTTTCACTGAATTGAGCACACACATCCAGAGCATCATTGAACTAGGTAGATTGCTCACTTGCACCACCATAAGCATTGGGCCACCGCAGCCCCGTCGCCACATATTCCCGAGTCAAACAACCGCCGGCAAGATCCAGCCAACCAACGCCATGGTAGCCAGATCTGGCAAAAGTCCTAGCAGGCCCAAGCCACCATTGACGCCAGATCTAGGCGGCACTTGGCCTGGAAGCCCGTCGCCTCCGGTCGGCAAGCACCAGGCCAAAAACAGCCAAACACCACAACCACCAAGTCACTGGGCAACCACCACCAACCTCCCATCGCTCCCGAGCACCATCCACCGTGCGCCAAACGATCGAAGACGTGCAGATCTGTCCCATCCGCATCAGCTGCTGCCAGCCACGCATCTATCCGGGCCGCTGGCACACTCACCGCACTTGCATGAGGCGGGGATATGCAAGCCGCACGCGCCAACCACCATGCACTGAAACGCCACGACGGAGCTCGCAACAGCACCCCACATGACAAGCACCTGAAGGTCATTGCACGTGCACAACAACTCCATCACGCCAGCACCGCCGTCCTCCCACCGCCCCCGCGCTCTAGTGACACGCGCGGAGGAGCACGGCGCCGCCTGCTGTTGTACGAGCCCCCGATCGACGACTAGCCTCCCTGGGACGTCAGAGCCCCTCTGCCGTCAGATCTGTGCGGGCTTTGCCCGGCGGAGGCCATGGGGTAGCGGCAAGGGGAGTTGAAGCAAGTGATGGGGGTCTAGCGCGGGCGGGGATGTGCTGTCACCCGTGTAGACCTAGGGAGGACGACGCAGGGGGCCGTTGTCGAATCCGAGAAAAGTCCAAGGTCCATTCCAAGTGGGTTGCGAAGTTATGATGCAAATGATGAGTCAGAGGACATAGAAATGGATTGCCCGGATGACTTTGGTTTGGTGGTAGTTCGAGGTTGTAATATGGACTTCTCTCAAGATAGTTTTACTTTTCAGGTATAATATTTTATAGTTGGGTCTTCATGTTTAACATCTGAATCATATCTGGTAATAATTCCTTTGTCTCGTTATTTGCAGGTTTAGGTGAACCCCAAACTCATATTAGCCCTAGTGCTCAAAGAAGTAAAAGGCTGAGGCTAGCTACAACAAAATGGATTGCTGATGCAATTTTGGACTGGTCAAAAAATGATTCTTCTCTTGGTGGTAAAGCTTTGCAGAAGAAACTCGAAGAGAAGTACCATATCAAAGTTCCAGATCACAGAGAGTTCTATTGCAAGGAGATGGAACTGAATGGGATATACGGGGAGTGGAAAGATAGTTTCCACTTGCTAAGTTGCTATACACACTTAAGAGTGAGATCAATGCTTGATATGGTTCATTTCAGTGCTCTTTCTCTTGGTATTGTTCACCACATGCCTGTGATCGTTCTCTTCCAATCTAGGTTTTGTATCGTTATAGGTGAAGTCTGTCACTTAACTGAAGTCGCAGAGTGGTAGGTGGGCGTACAGCCTATGCATTTCATATCAGTGGCATTACTTCCCTTGCATTCTATAGATAGATAGATGGGCAGAACACTTCTTTTAGATTCTATTCTAGAACAAACTCTTCTGTTAGCTTTGCACTCTAGTCTTTTTGAGCAAATTATTAGACTCACGAATCAAAAGGAGCTTGCTCAGAAGAGATAGATGCATCCAGCCTCTATTGTTCTTGCGTGGAAACTTTTTTGTTACGACAGTGACTATGAATTCCCAATCTTCTCCAACAGAACTCCCTCACTGAGGAAGCAGTCAGCATTCCTAGTATGATCCACTCATTCTACACCAAGAGATTGTTTGTGTGACCGAAACCATGTTGGAACAGTTTCTTAAGAGGGTTTAGACCACAGATTGCTGTAGAATCAACTGCTCAAACAGGTAAATTTGGAAGACAATTCCGCGGCTGTTTGTGGTATTGATGGCCAAAATTGGTTGTACCCAGTAGCCTATGGTGTTATGGATGCAGAATTAACCGAGACCTGGACTTCGTTCATAGAGATACTACAACAAGTCACTGGTCGTCCAATTGATCTAGTCATTCACACATATGGATGCAAGAGGCTGAAGAGTGCATCCGATATCATCTTTGCAGGAGTGCAGCATAAAGAGTGCACGAGCCACCTCTCTACTTGTGTTTTGAAGAAGTCCAAAGGGCCTTTGTATGATGATAACTTATGAGACAAATTAGTGGTCATACTTAACTCCCTATGAGACATGCTTGATTTTGCAGTGCACATACTTAACTCCCTATAAAGCATATTGGCTACATGGAGAAAATCTGTGCAAAACCTAAGGTGAAGAAATACTTGGATGAACACCACTCAAATTATGGCAGAAGGTCAATACATTCTAGGAGAGTTCTTCAACAGTAAGGTCAGGGAATTAGAAGGTCTGCCCATTCTTGATTCTTTGGATGCCACTAGGCAGCAATTAATGGAGAAAATTGACCGCGTGCAAGGATTGCAACCAAGAAATTTGAAGATCATACAATTCTCCCATCGGTTTAGAAGGACCTTAATCAAAAGAAGTACAAGTCTAAAGCTAAAGATTGGTCAGAAGCAAAAGTTTGGAGGCAGAAGCATATGCAGTATATACTATTGCCATGTAAAAATGTTGGTTCCAGATGTGTAACTGCGAGCATGTAGTTCTAATGTTCTTTTAAACTTGTAATGACAATTATGCAGTTCCACTTACAATGCCAATTATGCAGTCCTCATATGATGCTTTGGAAAAAATTGTAATGACAGTTACAGAGTCCTGATGCTTTTGAAAGTAGACTTGTGAGATCTGATGCTTGAAATGACAAGTGCGCAGACCTGCACCTTTGACGTAAGGTGTGTGCACTGAGATGGTTTTCGTGTGCTACGTCTGCCTAAGGGTATTTTTCGTCTTTGCACTGGGAGAAGTCCGTAAAAAGAGATCTGAAGAATTGGAGTATCACCAAAGAACTAGCTATGGACAGGGGTGCGTGGAAGCTTGCTATCCATGTGCCCGAACCATGAGTTGGTCGTGAGACCTTATGGGTTTCACCTCTAACCTACCCCAACTTCTTTGGGACTAAAGGCCTTGTTGTTGCTGTTGTTGTTGTACACAACGCCCAACTACATGATGATGTCAAAGAGAGGTCGGGGTAAACCGAACTTGACATGGGAGGAGTCTGTAAAGAGAGATCTGAAGGACTGAAGTATCACCAAAGAACTAGCCATGGACAGGGGTGCTTGGAAGCTTGCTATCCATGTGCCACCAGGGGCGGCCCTGGGGGTATGGCGGAGGGGCGATGGCCCAGGGCCCAGGCCGGTGGGGGGCCCATGATGCAGGATAAATACATAGTATAGCCAGCAAAAAATAGGTAGGAAAAAAAACTATACGAGAGAAAAGAAACAAGATGGGCTAGGCCTATCAGATAGCTAGGCAGCGATAGCGAAGCGTACGGCAGCCAGACGAAAGGCACGGCCGGAGATCTCATCGTTTTCGCTAATTCGCTTGTGCCTTCGTCGCTCGTCGGTTCGTTTTCGTGACTTCGTCCTCTCATTGGCCGTCGGCCTGACTCTCGGTGCCTCGGCCGCCGCTAGTTGTTGTCGTTGTACGCGTCCCACGACAGTCCGACAGCCCGGCCATCCGACATCCGGCAAGGCGGCAATACTTATACGTATGTGAGCCGTGAGTGCACCACAATACGTATGCATCCATGTGCCATGTTCCTGATCTATTCCCCGATTCAAAGCCCATTTTTAGTAGTTTTTTTTATTCTTTATTCTTTAGTACGTATTCAATTATTCATCCATCCATGATTGATCCTAATTTTTTGTCATTTTGTGTACATGTCTAAGATTCCAATCATCTGATGTATAAATTTCTAATTTTTTGTATCCTCTTTTCATCATAATTTTAGGACATTTGCCTGCCATGTTACCTAAGAAGATGCATTTGTGGCGTGCTGAAAAAAGGAGAAAAATGATTTGAAAATTTAACCACGGAAGAGTTCTTTCAATAAGTACTTTACATCTTCAAGCAATGTTGATGTTATTGGAGAAGAAGGGCTAAAAACTAATCCCGAGCACATATATGGTCTTAGCCTCTTAGGACATAGGGGCCCATGTCGGCGAGTTCGCCTAGGGCCTCCCAAAACACAGGGCCGGCCCTGTGTGCCACAACCATGAGTTGGTTGTGAGATCTTATGCGTTTCAGCTCTAGCCTACCCCAACTTGTTTGGGACTATATAAACATAAAAAGACAAAGGCTTTGTTGTTGTTGTTGACACAACGCCCAACTACATCAAACTAGGGCTGACCGAACAGTGACGGCATATGGTGCCAAAAGTAGGGCACATGGTGAGAGTAACTGATGGCAAATGTCTATCCAAGAAAAATGGCATAATGCATGTCTTGAGCGGAGATTAGTGCCACAAATGTGAATTTCCCACTACAAAACGAAGGAACTTGGTTGGCGAAGGATGCATACCTCCTCTCACAATGACTTCTGCGTCATCAGATACTTTTACAGTTAATGTTTTACTTCTCCAAAGACTTCTGCGCATATGAAATACCCAAACCTATACAGTAAAAAATTGCATATTCTTAGTGCTAACATACGCCACAAACAGAACAGATCAAACAAACAAAAAAAAAACATAATTGAAACATACAGGTAAATTCACCTCAATATCCACCTCAGAATTAAGGCCACTTGATCCTTCCACATACTTACTCAGCAACATGTTCTCTAGCTAACAACGCCAACAATAAATAGCAAAAATTTAACAAAATAACAGAATGTAACACAAACCTAATTTATTTCTATTTTACTTGAAACCTAATAAATCAATAGCGCACCCACCTCAACGGTGGTAGAGACGTGTTTTCCATTTAAGCATTCAATGACATCACCCACTCGAAATCCAAGTTTCTCAGCGGGAGATCCTTCGGACACCTAGATTCAGTTATCAAAAATAACCACTCAATACGCATGAGAAGATAAAAATCCTCAGAAGTGACGCAAAAATTTATAGAAGTGGCGCAAACATTTATATATACCTCTTGAACAATAAGACCACTATCAATGCTACACTTGACCAATATTTGCTCGATAAGAGGAGGATCTAAAAGCTTGATTGCAGAAAACTTCAATCCAAGGTGGGGTCGAGACATGCGCCTATACAAACAACCATTTAATGAAAGAAACAATACCATAAGATGTAACCCTTTTAAATGAGTCATTTCAGTTAGGAACCAAATTATGGCTATCATATCATAAGATTGCCGATACTACCACAAATATTTGACACCGATAAAGTTCAAAAATACTCCCAAAGGATGTGTAAACAGAATGACATATACAATAGAACCAAACCAGAACGACATATTACAATAGAACCAAAACAATATCAAGTTTTTATTACATCAAATATGTCCAAACAGAACGGCATATTACAATAGAACCAAAACCTATCGAGTTTTTTATAAACAATGCACTGATGAACATCTTCAAATTTATATCAATAGAAGATATTAGTTCCTTTCAAAGAGGAATCAGTAGGCATAACAGGGTATCAAGGTTAAGATAAAAACATAACTTCTCACCAAATTTTACGTCCGCACAGTTGCCATAAAATAATATTGATAACACATAGAAGTCCATAAAACAACAATTGATTTTCCCATAAAGTTCTCATAAGGAACCATTTGCCAAACTTGGTCAGTGTGGTTCTATTCCTGCTTCTATCCACATAGGCCATATGACGGTCCATCACCTGACCTCACTTGTACATATTTTTTGCTAAATAATCTCTTGTGCAATCTATTTAAATATACTCACTACAAACATAAAACACGACAACAAACGCATTACTGAACAAATATTTTTTTTTATGGTCATTATTGCATGAGGCAAGAGAAAGATAAAAACAGGACAAACCAAACTTAACAATATCCTTTCGACGTCATGATAGTTTAGATATGTATAGGTCATACATGATAAAGAGAATGACATGGCAATTATTTTGTAGTTCTACTTCCTTTGGCAGGTGTTTGCAAGCCGAAGCAAAATGTAGGAGCGCCACATGAATGACTGCTGCTGGTGAGCATTGATTGACACCTGACTACATCCAACTTTATTATGCCTTTGTGTACCCATCCATGTTTTCGAGTTGAACCACTAGTAGCGACTAGACGTTGATGGACCTACAATTCTCTGCCGAGGAGCGAGCGCTCTTCTTCGCGTCCACCACGATGACCCTCGGAAACGGAACGCCATATTTCTGGGAAGACCGCTGGATAAATGGGCAGTCCATTTGTGAGATCGCCCCAGCACTTTACAACTGCATACCCAAGCACCGGCGCAAATCCGGACCGTCGCTGAAGGACTGCAACTCTGCAAGGCCATAGCTGGGCCAGGGACATTCATGGGGCCCTGGGCATACACGAGATTGGCCAGTACCTTCAAGTCTGGCTGGCGATCGAGCACATAACGCTCTCGGACACCCCTGATCAGCTAGTTTGGAGATGGACGGCCTCCGGTATCTACTCTGCTAGCTCCTGCTATCTTGCCACCTTCCAGGGATCCACGACTTGCTTCTCATGGAAGCTCATATGGAAGAATTGGGCGCCGCCACAAGTGAAGTTTTTTCACTGGTTGGACAACCAAGACCGGTGTTGGACGGCCGACCGCTTGGCTAGACGCGGTCTCCAGCACCAGCCACGATGCCCACTCTGTGACCAGGCTTCCGAGACCATGCGCCACCTCCTCTTGGAGTGCCCCTTCGCCAGGCAGACTTGGCATGAAATCCTATCCTGGCTATGGATGACCACTGCAGGGCCAAGCCACGAAGATTCACTCATGGACTGGTGGCTACAGGCCAGGCAAAACACGCCGACACTGATGCGTAAGGGCCTAGCCTCCATTACTATGGATGATCTGGAAACAGCGCAACGAATGCATTTTCGAGGGAGCCCAGCCCCTGGTTCAAGTCCTAGTCTCGAAGATCAAAGAGGAAGCCGAGCAGTGGGCAAGAGCGGGTGCCCATGGCCTTCGCGTCATTCTGCCGTCCAACTGGGACGTGCACTAGTTTCACTGATCCTCATTTGTACTTGACCTCCTAGGAGGATTGTATCAAAACTCTACCTTTGCAATGCAATGAAATGCAAAGGTCCTTTGCATTTTCTCGAAAAATAAAATTGTATGTTTGTAGTTATGGGATCCAGTTTCAATAAAACACGCAATATAAACTGCCATTCAGGTTTTCTTGCAAATCGACACGCATCGATTTACTACAACTTGGGATAAACAGAGAAATTATGTAGTTTTCACATACTAACCATACACATGGTCCCAACAGTGTAATGAAGGCACGTGTAATGAGCACAAACAGCCAAAAGTTTGAGATACTCATTCTCGGTAAATCTAATAAGTAGACTGCAATAAGACCAGCTTACAGTATTTGCTTGTTCTCGGTACCTCTTTTGCGCAATCCACAATGTATGCTCATGCATGCATGCAAAAGCGACACATACATGTATAGCTCTAAAATATGGCACATAAATCCAAGCAACATGTTCACCATTGATGTTGGTGTGACATGATAATCCAAGTCATAAGTACGGTACGCAATGCCAGGTGTAAGTAGCACTCATTTGTATGTTTGTGCAACTTTATCATCAGATGCTAATTGGGTTTTGGATTACTACCAAGTTGAGGACACATGCAACGCGTCCAATGGCAACAAGCCTGGGGGCAGCTATCCCCCATGGCAGCAAACTATATTTGAAAGAAAATACAACAAATAACTTGACAGGAAATCGAAGTGGAACAACTCAACGTAAGAGTAAGAACCATGGGAGAGGCGTTTAACTCTTAACAGTAAAAAAATAGTAGAGAAGATTATTTTAATAACACTAAGAAAGAACTAAAAGAAAAGACAATACCCAAATTTCTTCCACAAATGCAAGCACTTGAGCAAAATGGATGAAGGAATAATAGACCCTCTCGTGCTGTTGCTGACCATTCCCACAATCTTGCCATCAAAGTCAATAACTGGCCCTCCATTGTCATACTGGAACATATGTATTAGCAACATTAAATTTTGATACCAACATTTTGCAAAATAAAACAACAGATGACATTATCCAAATAACAAAAGAATGTAGACAACAATCTCAGAATAAATTACAATCTGTGCCTTAGGATGCTCATCTGTGCCATGAACATACAGATAGTGATGCCGTTCAAGCAGGTTGGGATTCAGATATTGCACCATACCATGACCTATCGTTAGAAATGAACTTTCATCTCTTCCGAGTTCAAACACTTCTTCAGCACTTTTCACGTCATCATTGAAGGAGAGCAACTGGACAGGTTCATCTACTCTAACCTCAAACATAGCAAGATTGTAGTGCTTCTCGTAGTACAGCATGGTGGCCTTCTCAGTAGTGGCATCCCGAAAGTGAACAAAAACCTGAAACAGAAGTTGCGAAATATTATGTTTTAGATATTTTTCTTTGTTCGAGAACCAATGATGTCTTAGAAGTTAGAAAGAAAAAATTTGATGACATTTATAGTCATACCCATGTCTTCTTAAATTGGTCAGCATCTCCCACAAAGCCACATGTGGATGCAATGCAAATTACTCTTTTAGCTCCATTGAATTCACCATTTGTATAAAATAGATAGTGACTACATTATGCATGCATGGTTTACCAAAAAATTATATCGTTATTTCAGTGCTAGCTAATTGTATCATTGTGTCAGCCAACATACTTCACTTTAACACTTCCCTAATTCTAGTGTCAGAAGATAGAATATGTAAGTGTAACTGTGGATGGAGTTATGTTAAATGTGGACAGGACTAGCTACCTTACGCCACAAATAAAATGAGTTAAGTAAGGTCGAACTAGTATGAGACTACATGTACAAAAAACAAGTGAATACAAACTGCTATTTTCCTATCCTTAACAACTCACCTTGGCCTTGGGAGCATACTCATCTTTACCTAGCCAGTCATTTGAGGATGGGGACTTCGTGCGAATCAGATGTGCAGTAGTCAAAACAGTACCTTTTTTGTTCTCCTCATCCCAATCAACCCAAAATCCAGAGCATCGTGTTAGCGAATGACGACCTGCAAACGCATGCATATATGAACAAGGAACAACCTATTCTCGCAGCGCTGCTAACAAATAGACATGACATAATTATCATACCAACAGAAGATGAAAGTCCAATAACTGATGGAGCAGCAGCAAGCACTGTCTTTGTTGTGGATTCGCGGACACGAAGAAGCTTAGGATTAGTACTCAAGCATGTGGGCGGTTTACACGTGTGCAGATAAAGAGTCGGCAGTTCCATTTGGCGACCTGCAAGAAGATCAGCAATCAGAAGTTAACACTAACATGCTAAACTGTCATTTGATTTCAGCAGCATTCAGAGGATATGTCGCTTCGCTAAGTTGAACTTCACAATAGGCGGCACATGTGCATATCAGAAAACTAAACTGCGTGGAGTGGCATATCCTACGATCTCTAGGACAATTCGTTGGTTTAAAATTGTCTCGATTTCAAGATAATCTGCAAATGTCTCCTGTTCTTGTCTCTCACAGGCATACTAGATAGTATACATGATAACGACAGGACGTGAAACATTAAAAGGAATGGAGGGTACTTGAACAACAAACCTAATTTTTCATCGTATGCATCGTGTATATCTTGAATGGCCTTAAGCATATCCAGATCTTCATATAACGCATCCGGAATCTGCGGCGCGCGAATTGGGGAGCTGCCTGCAGATGAGACCCCATCCTCTTCCTCCTCCTCCTCCTCATCCCTGGTCCTTGTCCGTTCCTTCGATTCCTGGTTGGCAGCCGCCCCCCTCTTTCTCTTACTTGTCGGGGACCGCACGGGTGGTTCCTGTGGCGATTGGGAGCCCGGGGGCTTCCGCCGCGCACGCACCAGGGCCATCGACCGGGTGGTCGTCGTGGGTGTTGCTGAGACGGTGGAGCTCCGGCCGCGGCGGAGCACGAGGGTTGGTCCGGACCCCGACGCCTCTCCCTCTTGGGTGGCGGCTTGCGGCATTGCTGACCTAGCGAGGGTCGGGCCGGCGCGGTCAGCAAGAGAGAGGACGGAACTTCCCGGGCCTTTACGATCGCCGGCGGAACTCAGTGCTGGGGAATTGAATTTTACTAGCAAAAGAGTCCGTGCGTCGCAACGGGAGAGAAAACATAACGCACACTCCTAACTCAACAACCATCACTCAAGACCATAATAGGTCCATCTCCTTTATTTTTACGAGGTATCATATTTGTGTTGCTGCTTATTCTCCTTCTCACCCTCGCCGGCGATGGCCTCGGTGTTCACACAAAACAACAAAAAACGTGTGTTGAATATGGTTAATCCTAAGGTGTCTCTTTCTCCCTCTCTCCTCCCTCTCTCTTTCTCGCTCGCTTTCTCTCACTCTCGCGATGAGAAATCTTTTGTTTTCCCTTGCGACACTTTTTAGAGGTATGCACGTGTAGTTATCGATGTTTTCTTTTCCGTATATGGTTATAGTGGGGTATTTATTTGCAATCCGGATCGCCGCCTGTATAAAAAAATGGATCTTGCGCTATAAATTATAAGTTTGCTTCCATAACAATATTTTAAAAATATTTAACAGGTAAAATTAACATCATATTTAGATTCCACACATTTTTCTAATAAAATTTCATATATAATATGTTAAAATCGAAGTTATGGTTTAAAAGATACAGATAATTTAGAAAATCATTTGGTTTGACTCAAATATATTCCAAAATAATATTTCAAAATACTTAACAGGTAACAATAATCTCATATTCATATTCTACATATTTTTCTAATTAAATTTCATATATAACATATTCAAATCGGAGTTACGGTTTAAAAGATATGGATGATTTTAAAAAGTATTTGTTTGACTTAAATATGATCCGCGGATGAATTACCTAAAACATCAGGGGGTTTTCGAAAAATGTAAAATAACGGTTCAGGTGTGACTTAAATCCGGACGGCGGGTTGATTTCAAGAAAAGACAGAGACTTTTATGTAAAATACGAAAATAACGCTTCGTTTTAACTTAAAACAGGACTGCGGGTTAAATTCTCTGAAATAGAGGGACTTTTTTGAAAAAATGCCATGACGGACGAAGGAAACCCAATTTACTTTATTATTATTGAATTTTATTTATGGTTTTGCTACGGCACATCTAAGAGTATCTCCAGCCGCGCCCCCAACATACCCTTCCTACGCAATTTTTTTACGCCGGCGCCGAAAAAATGCCCCCAATACGCCGAATTCCACCGGCTCGGCCCGTTTTTGGGTCCGGCGATCGCAGGCCGAACCCGGTGCACTGGAGGCGCTCGGGGGCTCCGGTGCAATGGAAAAGCGCACCTGGGGCCACACTGCCACGCGAAAAGTCGAGCCGACCGTTCAGATTCGCCTCCGACCCCCCCTCCCCCCGCGCTCGGCCGCCACCTTGCTGATCCCGGCGCCGTCCACCACCCACCACAGCTAGATAGACCATTCTTCGCCGGAAAAGAGAAGAGGTTTCGCCGAGGCAGCCTCTCCGACGCCGTTCGGGCAACTTTTCCGACGTTCCGGCCGCGCATGAGCTGTACACCGGCGGGTGTGCGCCCACCTCGCCCGCAAGGTGTTCGGTGATTTGCCCGACCCGGCAATGGAGTCGGACAACGAGGAGGCGCTCGCGGCGTTGCTGGAGGAGGAAGCCGAAGCCGACATCCAGGAGCAGGAGCATCTCATGGTGCTCGCCGCCCTCGCCGGCCTGCTCGCGAGCAGTGAAAAGCCGCGGCGAGGTGGCTCGGCGCCGGGCGGGTGAAAGCAAAGAACCGACATCGTCTGGAAGGCTACTACATGCTCTACTCCGACTACTTCGCCGACGCTCCATTGCACGACGAGAAAACATTTCGCCGCCGTTATCGGATGAGCCGAAAGCTTTTCCTCGGAATTGTGAATTCCATCCGGGAGTTCGACAGCTACTTCAAGTGCAAGAAGGATTGCACCGGCACACTTGGATTCACCTCAATCCAGAAGTGCATGACAACTACGAGGATGCTTGCATATGGAGCTCCCGGTGATTCACTCGAGGACTATGGGCGCATGGTCGAGTCCACCACCATTGAGTGTTTCTACAAGTTTCGCAGGGCAGTGGTGGCAGAGTTTGGACCGCAATACTTGCGAACACCCAATGCGGAAAACACTGCTCGGATCCTAGCATAGAATGCAGCAAGAGGATTTTTTGGGATGCTTGGAAGCATCGACTGCATGCATTGAAAATGGAAGAAATGTCCATTTGCTTGGTAGGGGTTGTAAAAGACGCCAAAGGCGGTTGCAGTGTGGTACTTGAGGCAGTGGCCACACAGGACCTCTGGATTTGGCACTCTTTCTTTGGGATGCCAGGAACTCACAATGACGTCAACGTCCTGCAGTGCTTCCCTGTCTTTGTCAAGCTTGTTGAAGGTCATTCTCCTCTGATGAACTTCGAGGTCAATGGGCGGCACTACAACAAGGGGTACTACCTAGCTGATGGCATCTATCCGAGATGGTCGATATTTGTGAGGACTATCTCAAACCCTGTGCTAGGAGGCAAGAATACCTTCTTTATGAAGGTTCAGGAGGCTTGCAGGAAGGATGTCGAGCGAACATTTGATATGCTCCAATCTCAATTTGTTGTTGCCTGGTACCCTGCTTAGACCTGGTCGAAATATCAAATGTGGGAGATCATGACTTGGTGTGTCATCTTGCACAACATGATCATTGAGAGCGAGTAGGAAGATCCAGTGTTTGACACAGAACCATATTACAGGCAGGGTCATGTTGCCCAAGTTGATCACCAACTACCGGCAACCTGGACTGCCTACCTCAATATGCGTCAGGAGATCTGAGACCCACAGGTGCATCAAGAACTGCAACACGATCTGGTGGAGCATCTATGGAGGCTCAAGGGCGACGTCGGGAATGAAGAGTGATGAAATATGAGTTTTTATTTGTTGAACTATATAATTTGTATTGAAATATTTGTTGAACTATTTGATTTCTATTGATTTTTTGTGATGAACTATGGAGGCAAAAACACGTCGAAACACATCGAACTATGTGATGAACTATTTGATTTCTATTTGTTGAATTATTTATGAGAGAATTCACGCCGAACCGCGTCGAATATGGGCCGATTCACGCAGATATCGGGCTGTTTTTGGACGAAAGTGGGTCGAATAATGGGCCGAAACCGGCACCTGGGGGCGACGGCTGGGTGCCCAACCGCCCCCAGAGCTGAATTTGCCGTCGGCTCACCCCCAGGCGGCCATTTTTATGCCTCCTGGGGGGTAACGGCTGGAGCTGCTCTAAAGCACATGTAGACGTGCCCTATCTATCACACATCTAAATAGTGAAACTGGATCCTCTAACATTGTGAAGGAAAGTCACGGTGCTACAGTGTTTGTCTAGTGTAAAATGAAGAAGGAAAGTTAGGGACTGTTAGTAGGTAGTTAGTAGGTTGTTTACTGTTGGTATTTACTATAGATATTAATAATTTAAAATTAATTTTAGTTCATCATCAATTTGTTTGTATGTAGTTACTATAAATGTACACGGTAGATCATCAATTTGCAAATTAATTTAAATCGTTTTAGCCATAATCATATGGATAGAAAGAAGGAAAGTTACGGTATTATAATTTCTCTAACTTTCCTTCTCAATGTTAGATGATCTGGTTCCCTAAATAGTGTGTCTTTAATTTTATGTGAAAAATCATACAAGTATCTTTTTTCCAAATGATAACGCCCGAATGTCAAGTTTTAAGATGTCGGCCCGAATGATGTTTCTATCATTCGATTTTTTGACACGAACCACTGACCAAGCCACTTGCCACGTCATTTTTTTCCTTGTTCGGGAAAAAAGACGTCGTCGTCGTGAACGCCCTGACCTCTCTTATCCACTTCCCCATTTTCCCCATTAATTGCTCACTCACGGCAAAGTGAATCCCACCCCTCTCACCACGAGACACAGAGTAGTGTAGTGATGTGCCGATGACGAGGCTCGTCCCTGACCAGATCCCACCACCGGAGCGACGGCAGGGGTCGAGGACGAGGAGGGGAAAGAGTTCATGGAGGTGTTGCTCGTGAGGAGTGGCTGCGACTGCTCCCGGCGGACCAGTTTCATCCAAGGTCATGGGAGCTCAACGGTGATTGAGGACGAGGGGGAGAAGTCCGCGGAGGTGCTGTCCGCGGGAAGCGGCGACGACTGCTACCAGCTGACCTTTTCAGTCACGGCCAGGGGGGTTCCTTTGTTGCAGCGGCGCGACGACGATGTTGTCCGCGAGGTGGAGACGCAAGGGAGTCGATGGCGGTCGGGGAGGCGGCGGCGCCGTACTCCTACACTGGAGGCAGGCGCGTGGTAGCGTGTTACTGCTGAGTTCAAGCGTTGGTCGGGAGTGCGCCACCTCGAGGAGCAACGCACTGCGGTCGCCAAGCTGCAGGGTGGGAGTCGGCACCTCGTCGTCCGCCTCCACGTCATCGAGATTGATGGGGGAGACCAGGGACTAGCTGGCCGCCGTTAACGACGGGGATATGCGTAGTGCCCGGGCCTACTACCCCTGGTGACCCCCATCACCGTCTCTCATCACCGATGCGGCGGCTGGACAAGCTGAGAGGATGAACGTTGAGGTGCTGCATGGGCTCAAGACAAGAACTTTTATTAAGTTGCAGAAGTGCGGCAGACGCTAGATCGACGAGCTACCAGTGGTTCTTTGGTCCCTCCGTACGACACCGAATCGAGCCACCCGCCAGATTCCCTTCTCCCTAATGTATGGGGCAGAAGCAGTGCTCCCCACGAAACTCATATATGGGTCACCTCGAGTACTTGCCTACGATGAAGTAGGGCAAGAGCAGCCACGACATGACAATGTTGTGCTCCTCGAGGAAGATCGTCTCTAGGCTGTTGTGCATGATGCATGCTACCAGCAAGCCATGCGCTACCATCATAGCCGCAGGGTTCACGCCCAGAGACTTGAGAAAGGCGACCTTGTCCTTAGGCACGTTTAG